CTGTATTCCCTTTCTAGGTGACGGATAAAGGAGAAGGTCATCAATTTTCATTTGTCACTAATGTGAAAGACCAATTGATTGTCTATATAGATGACTCAATTTGGAACCGAGATGAAGAGCTACACGTCAATCAAAATTTCATAAATCAAATCACATGGTAACATTATTAGGGGAGCCCACTACTCAAAAACCCCAGGGTGGATCCTCTATGAGGCAAAGAATATTGCTGGTATATTTGATCCTTGGTGTATCCAATATAGTTAATACATAGCAGAACAAGATTAGAAACCAGTGTTTTTTATCCTTTCCTCTTGTCTCCCCCAATTCTCCTATTAGCTTCATCTTTATAACACTTGAATGTTCTGTGTTGAACATTTTCTATAAATGACTGGAGCTCACTGGAAAAAATAAAGTTAAAAAAAATGTAGTTGTAAAGTCCTCGGGGGTCCTAGAAAGACACAGAGTCCAATCAATCCAAGGTCTTCCTGCTTCATCACACAGGGACACCATAACAAGGAGATTCAGTTGCTGCAATGGTCTGCTGGTGAGCCCGATGCCACTCAGGCTGACCACCAGGACAGAGCCTCTGAAGTCCGCCTCTGAAGTCCACGAGCTTCAGTTTGCTCAGCTGGCAGCTTGGTTTTGTGCCCTTAGAAAATTCCTTGGAAGTGAAAGTGTCAAAAGCAAGAGCTCGTATGAGTGATAATTATTCCACCTTGCAATTTCTTTACCAGACAGAACACAGTATATTTAATGGGACTGGTATGGCAATGGGAGATTGCAACTGTTCCCAGGGTCCAGAGCTGCTGCAAACCACAGCAGAGACTGCTTTGAAGGCAGACAGGTTCGAATTTAAGTACGTGGGTGATCTTAGATGACTCAAAACTCTCTGAGTCTCTGTTTTTGTTTTTATTTATGAATGGAATCATTCATTCCAGCCTAAAGATGGACTGAGGTATGAGAGATACCTAGCCAGTGCCCAAAGACAGTAAGGGTAAAGCCTTTCCAAGTGCAAGCTGTTATTCTGATTACTATTATTATTTAGCACTGTGTCTTCAGTAATTTTCTCATAAATATCTGAAAGAACTAATGAACAAATGGTTGAATCTATGTATTTGTTATCAGGGCAAAAACGTTTATTAGAATGCAGTTGGAATCTTCAGCAAATTCCTGTTCTCTCTTTTAGGTAAGATGATCATTTCCTCTTTCTTTCTCGCATCTCTTCACTTCTTCCCCAGTCTATCCGTTCACTCACAGATAATACCAGAAGAAAATGACAGTATCAGTCATGTCATTGGGGAACCGAGTCATGCAACGGTCGTGGTTTTCATCCCTCACCCTCACTGAGTGGCAGTGCTACATTTGCACACAACATGTGCTGGGCACTGGTGTTAAGATATCACTCTCCCCTGCACTTCTGAGTCCAGCGGGAAAGTTCTATAATAACTGGAACACAACACTATAAATGCTGGAACAGAAGCAAGCACCAGGGAAATGGCAGAATGGCAGGAGAGAGACAAATTCTCTCTGGGAAGGACAGACAGACAGTGTGAGAAAAGTTTTACAAAGAAAGTCATTTAAGTTCTCAGTGCTAGAGGAGGAGGAAGGTGGAAAAGAGGAGGAGGAGTGGTTGGAGATGTTTCCAAGCAAAGGATGGAACCAAGAGAGCACTTGTGGCACAGCGAAGGCAGGGCAGAGTCCAGAGTGACTCTGCTGGTACATGTGGATACCAGGGAGGAGTCCAGTGTGGCCACGACACAGGGCAGGGCAGGGCAGGAGTAGGAAGAGGCAGGCTGAGAGCCCCGCATTCACTCAGTGAGTACCTAATGTAGTTAGGGACAAGGACAATAATGGCTAATGTCTGAAAATTTTCCAGAAGAGATTAGAGAAAACTGCAAGAAAAAAATAACCTTCAAAGGCTGTTGAAGATGACTCTGCTTCCCAGAGGCTAAGAGAGCCTGGCAGTTGGCAGCAAGAAAAAAAAAAGGCACTGAAAGAAAAGCACAGGGCACTGGGCTCTAACCTGATTGGTGCCAACTGGGCACTTCCCTGTGACCTTGGCCGAAACACTGCCCCCTTCTGGCCTGTGTCCTCATCTGTAAAATGAGCTGGTTGATACTGGAACCTTAGCAGCCTTTAGGGCTCTAGAATGTTACGACCTCAGCCTTTCCGAGTAACAGAGGGCTGAGTGGGGTATTCTTAGGGCATTTATTAACTCATGGCTGCACGTCATCACTCAGAGGACCCAGAGGGACAGAAGCAAAATCAAAAGACATTTTCCGAAGATAGATGACAGAAGGGGGATGACATATGTGTGGGAGTTTGGGGAATTTATGTGGGCAGTCTCCCAGCCATAAATAAAATCTCTTTCCCTTACCCAAAACCTCATTCAGGGGGTAAACAGCGGACACCGTAATAGACAATTTGGCTGTACCTCCCGCCCCGTGCCTCCCGTGAATGAAAAACAGCCACCACAGGCAGGGTAACAGGTCCTGTCGCCTCTGTACAAACATCCATATTGTCACCAGTGACAAGTGAGGCAGAGAATGGAAACACTTGGACAATTTATCTCTGAGATCCCTGGACCTTCTGTGCTACCCTACTCTGACCGTCATGTGATCTGAGGCTGGGAGGCTGAGGGAAACCCCAGGAAACCTCAGACACTGGGGGAGGAGGCCCTGAGAGTGTGGGAGGGGGACAGTCCCTCCCTTTCCGGTAAGTCTTCCAAGGACACACATGCTCCAGGCACTGTGGACACCAGTCTGGCCCACCACTGCGTAAGGCTGCCTGCTCTGAGGCACGGCGTCTCGTGTTATCCTGACCTGCTTCTCTCTCCACCCTTACCCTACTCCATTTCTCCTCTGGAGGCTGTGTAATTAGCGCCTCTCCATCCAGAAGGACTGGGAGGCATAACAAGCTGCTAACTCCCAGGATAACCCAGGAGACTGGAAAGCAGGTCCTGCCACTGCTGCTTTAGTTTTCTTTTCTTTCTCCTGGTTGGTTTGATCCTGCTTCCTGACCTCTGCAAGACACCAGACCCAGTTTGACCTTGTCAGCCAGCAGGGCCTTTGGCTGGAAATCAGCTGGAAGCGTCCTGGTGTGAACCAAAACTAGGGCCAGCACAGGACAAGCACTGCTCAGAGTGTGCATGAGGAAGGATGGGGGTCCCCCCCTTGTTGGAGCAGCAGACCTCAACAGCAAATGTCAGGAGATCTAAGGCTATGAGGCGCTGCCGATTCTGGCTCAATCCCTTTACGCTTTCTATTAACAACCAATGGAAACTGATGGGTTATGCTGTATCCACTCATTTAGAGGGGGGAGAAAAGCTTGCAGCAAAACCTGAATAACTCTAGCTATCTTATAAATTAAGCATTGGAAGGCTATGAAACATTTTTGCAATGCCACTAAACAATAAAATTAGGGTCTGAAGTTTCTGCAGCAATGAATGAATGAGAGGGAGGGAAGATTTTGGTTTTAGTTTTTTTCTCTAAGCACGCAGGGCAGGAAGTCAAAGACGGGATGAGGGCAGACCTGAGTCACCTGTCGACATTTCTGATTTCAATCAGTTGCTGCTGCATATACATGGAAAAATGTGCCACGAAGTACCAAGGAGCAGCTCAGAGACCTCAGGTTTGGCCTCTGTCATGTGATGCCTGGCCTGGCAAGGTCTCGACTGCTGGCCTGTCTCTGCCCCTACTGGGGCCTCCTGACTGCCACCAGCATGCCAACCTCTCTCCCCCTGGGTCCTTGAGTCCTGATTGTGATTGGGAATTCTGGAACATTAAGTCATTTCACTGGACCTTCACTCTAAAATGAAGAACCTTCACTCTAAAATGGCCACAGCATTTTAGTTCAAGCTTAGGATGCAGACCGTGCCTTATTCCTACCCCAAGGTAGGAAGGGGGACCTCATGTGGTTATCTATCTGGAAAACCTGCCTGGTGTTTGAATCCCTGTAGTCATCACCTAACCCTACCCCTAGGGCCCACGGTTGGACAGGCCTTTCTGTTACGAAGAAGCTGAGTTTCTTACTGCTATGCCCCACTCTTAAGTTTACACCGACTTGTGCCACGTTACACAAACAGACACCCTGATCCCTGCTACCCTCCAGGCTGTCCTGACCTCAGTTTCCCTATGCGCAGCCTAGATAACCATGCTGTATCTGCTACACTGGATGGTATGCTCCTCTCTGTGGTTGGGACCACGTCCCCAGGCTCTGAAGTCCTCTGGCTTCATCTAGTCCTTCCAGAGAGGACACACCTGATTTCCTAGGCAATCCCTACCAGGGATGGAGGTGACAGTGGTACAGGCAGCAGCCCTGCCTGCCCACACTTAGAGTGGCACACTCATAATAACAAGGATGAAGGATAAACTGAAGTGACCCTGCCATCCTTCCCAGAACCAGGCCTCAGCAAACAGATGGCAAAGCAATGGCCCTTCCAGCAGCCAGGCCAGGTTCACTGAACAGACTCCTGGTTTCATCCAAATTGCCGCAGACATTGCACACTCTCCAGGATTCTTCTGGGATCTTCTTGGTCTTCTTTTCTTATCTCTAGCCCACCTCTTAATGTGCTAGGCTGAATCCATCATAAACGGTACCAGGGAGTTATACGCATCTTTATCCAGTCACCAGGGGAGCTCAGACCAGAGCTGTTGATCTCTTGCTCACCCACCACCATCCTACCTTCACCATCCCCACCTCCACTACCTCCTCCACTTACGTCACCTCCAACCTCCTCTGCCTCCACCGCCTCCACCACCTCCACCACTTCCTCCACAACGAGCATCTCCACAGCCATTCCCACCACCACCTCCACTTCCATCTCCACCTCCACCCCCATTACCACCACGTCCACCTCTACCTCTACCCCAGCCAAACTCAGAGAGGGCAGAGAGCAGGGTTTGGACAGCTTCCCACAAGACCTGTGCACCACACAGATGGCCCTTGGGGAACCTTGGAGTAGTGACTGGGGATGTACCCCAGAGCTGGCCTTCACTTACCAATCCTCAGGGAGTGGGGGCTGCAGGCGACCATCACGAGCCACGTAGGAAGCAGCACCAAAGGCGCCGAGACGCGGGGCATCTTCTATAAATCCTCATGGAGCCCTCTGCTGGTCTGGGCATGACATACCTCTGTGAAAGAGGGGAAGGAGCTCATGAATCCTACAAGGGCTAGGAAACCAACCCACAGAGCCCAGTGACTTGAGCCTCCAGGGAAAACTACTTGGGGAGGGCCAAGGCCACCTTGAGAACTTGTAGGGTGTCCTGGGAAAACTGCTGCCAAAGCCAAGGAGTCCGACCTTTGTCTTTCCTCTCTGTGCCCACCAGCACTCAAAGAAGGCTCAAACTCTAACTCTAGCCCTTGATTCACACAGGCAGAACTGCTGTAACCAAGGTCACAGGATTAATGGAGACTCGTTTCTCTTTCAAAATCTGCAATGCAGAATAAAGACCTTCATCTGTGCTTAAGAAATAGGAGCCACAGGTGACAGAAGATGGAGGCATGAGGAGAGTAATTTCCCTGCCCCAAGCCCCAGCATGCTCTGCACACTGCTGCTCTGCACACTGCTGAATCAGTGGGGAAGGGACTTGGTTTGCCAGCTGTACTGTCTTCCTGAGGTATCTCTTTGTCTCAGCTCAGTTTCCTTGTCTGTAACTGTAGTAACACAAGCCTCGATGGAACTGCACTGAGAACTAAGTTGCCATGAGCAGGAGTTGCCTTAATGGGGGGCTAAATGCATGTCAGTTCCTGATGGGGGGGATACATTTATTCCCAAGTCATCAGCTGGTGTCCATATCTGGTTCTGCTGCCTGCTACAAACCAACCCTAATCCCCATCCATATCCCACTGATCCCTTCTCCTCCTTCCTGATGTCAAATGCAGAAGTGTGCAGGGAGCTAGCCTCCCCATGGCAACGTGTCACTGTCCCCCACAGAGACCTCATAGGAACTCTAGCACCCACAGTCTGTAGGCAACCAGTATGGGCCCCATCCCTGAGATCAAGGGAGACTTGGTCAGCACCTGGATATGCTAATATCACATGCCCTTGGTATTAAAGTGTTTCCTTCTCCTACTCCCTAGGCAGATGTTCTGATAGAAAAATAAGTAAAAGACTTGGACAGACATTTCATTAAAGAATAGACCCTAATGGCCTTGTACATATTTGAAAATATGCTTGACTCACTCAGCATTAGGGATCTGTGACTTTAAACCCCAACAGTATACCGCTATTACCCACCAGAGAGACAAAAAAAAAAAAAAAAAAAAAAGACAACATTAAAAACTCTCACACAGTGCCATTAGAAGTGAACATTCACATAGCTTTTTTTTGAAAACCGGTCTACTACAGCTTTTCACATATCATAAGAACCCAGATACTACACTGCTCAGGAGTTTCCAACAGAAATGCAGTATATAGTCATCAAACACATGCACCAGGTGTGTAGGTTTCTCCAAACTGGAAACTACCCAAACATCTAGCAGCAGAATGGAGAAATACACTGTATACTCACACAGTGGAACATGACACAGAAATGGAAATGAATGATCAAGAACTATATGCAACAGCATAAATGACGTTAATAAATACAGGATTTAGCAAAGGAAACCGGCACAGGAGAGCACATACAGTACGACTCTATCTATGTAAAGTACAGACCCAGATGACGCTAGGTTGTGCTCTCTGACATCCAGTTTGAGATTAGGGCAGATTGGCCTCAGTGGCTTCCAGGGAACTAATGTTTTATTTGTCACGCTGGGCATGGTTATATAGGCATGTCCAGTTTGTGAAAACTGACTGAGGGACACACTGGAGATACATGCACGTCGCTGTGTTGTGTTTCAGAAATCTTTGCTTTGCAGCACACCATCCCCCCAGCACACATTTAGCCCAGCATTCCCATCACGGCTGGCACCCTGCAGTTCCCTGTACCTGACGTGTGCCCCCCTCTCACCCCTCATCCCAGTGCTTCTCCCTCTATGGCTACTGCCTTTATGTGTCTCCACCTGGGATCGCTGCAGGCTCCTATAGGAGGAACTCTTTCTAGTTTCCTACTACATCACCAGAGTCCACTTACACACAGCAGTGGCACAAGACCTATTTACTCAATGAATAAAAGGCCGTAAGCAATTTCCTGCTGCAGGTAGGCACAGGAAGGTAAAGGGCAAAAGACAGGGAAGTGAAGGAAACTCCACAGTTGGCACATCAGGCCCAGAATCTTTGTCCTTTAATGTAATGATGCTGGGCCAAAGACAGACTTAAGCAAACACAGTCTCAAGAGAAGCCAGACATGGGGAGGAGCAAAGATGGCAGATAAATAACAACTGGCTACAGAAGCTCCCTGAGATAGTCAACTTGGAATTCAACATAATACAGAAGAGGGAGCCTCAAACAGAGGGACATGAATTCTCTCGTCCCAAGAAGAAATTAAGGTGAGAAGAACCAACCAAACATACAGTCCTGGTGCTATTATTGGAAAAGCTAACGGTTCAGTGTTCCCGTCGCAGCTGTGATTTGTCAACCATCCGAGGTCCCACTGTGACTTGCCCAGCCATCCAAGGTCCTGCTGCTTCGACTCACTGGAGGCGCAGTTACATTGAGCTCGGGGGTTGGTGAGCAGGCGAGCTGAGTTGGCGGGGTGCCTACATCGACCTGTGGTGGGTGATGGGAGTGGAGCCATTCTACAGAAAGGGGGCTCCAGCACATGACATTCTGGGACCAGGCAGGACTGGAAAGTACAAGGGGCAGCAGTGACTTCAGTCAGTTGTTCCCTTCCTGAATGGGATTGGTGGAGTGAGCTAGGCCTGGGTCACATGACCTGGCTGAGAACCAATAGGTATCTGAAATCAAGTCCCTACAGTGGTGGCGCACACTAACCACACTAACCCAGTGAAGCCTCAGAAGTTTGACTGACCCAGAGGAGAGGCAGTGCAAAGTAATACAGTGCAGGCCACAGCAGCTTGACTGATGCAGAGGAGAGGGGCCAGTATATGCTGTCCCTGTGTGCAACTCACTAGCACACAGCAATGGGAAGGGTCATCTAGCTAGTGTGCTTCAGAAGAATTGTAATCAACAAAGAAAGAAACTTGGGCCTCTTGGAAGAAGCAAAAAAGATGGGAACAGGAAGCAACAACAAAAAGTCCCCAGGTCCCAACCGTGAGAACATTGACCCAGGACAGGTGAATACAAAAGGAGAATGAGAACAGCAAATATGCAATATCAGACATGGCACCAGTGGACATAAAGAGATATATTTGGGACCTCATAGATGAGTTCAAAAGTGAAATATTTAGCCAAGTAAAGCAAGATATAAGAAGATTAATAAAAGAGATACTAAGCACCCCTCAAGCAGACACAGATGGAAGAAGGGAGGAACTCAAACAAAGGAGAGAACCATTTGATGAAGAATATAAAAAAATATAGAATACATGAAGCAGATTCAAAGAGATTATCAGGAAATTAAAAACTCTATGGAAAGATGGCAAATCAGCTTGAAAGAAACTAAGGATAGATTACCCAAACTGAAGGACAGGGGCTGGGGATTTAGCTCAGTGGCATAAGAACCTGCCTTGCAAGCAGGTGGTCGTGAGTTCAATCCCCGGTACCAGGGGGAAAAAAAAAAAAACTGAAGGACAATTTTGCAACGTGGGATTATGAAAGAGAAACTTTTTAAAAATAACAAGGAAACAAGCAGTAATAATACAAAGGCTAGAAGACGACAAGAAGATCTATAACTTGAGAATAAAGAATGTGAATGAAGAAGCAGGGGTACAAACAAAGTAACTACAAAGGTTATTCACAGAAATAATTAAGGAAAACTTCCTAAACATAGGAAAAGGAAATGATATTTTGATATATGAGGCATACAGAACCCCAGCCACCTACAACCAAAACAGAGCTACACCCAGGCATATAATAATCAAGATCCCAGAAATTCAATATAAGAACAGAATATTAAAAGCTGTTAGAGACAAGAAACAGATAACCTATAAAGGAAGCCCCATCAGAATAATGGCAGACTTCTCAACACAAACCATCAAGTCAAAAAGAGCCTGGAGCGAAATATTCCAAGCCCTGAAAGAAAATAACCTCTATCCCAGATTGATATACCCTGCTAAACTGTCTCTAGAAATTAATGGAGAAACAAGATGCTTCCAAGACAAAGAGGAACTTGGGAAATTCGCAACCACCAATCCAACTCTACAGAGAATACTCCAGGGCATTCTAGAGAGAGAGAGAAAAGTACTAGGATTCCAGGAACAGTGGCAGAGAGGCCTCAATGAATGGAGCAGAAAACAGAACGAAGAAGCAGACAACTGATGGCAAAAAAACAGCATAGCAGAAATGAGGCAGAGAAGATGTTATTCAAAACTGATATGATCGATAGTATCAAGTCTGAGAGTATAGGCAACTACACTGAGGATGACAAGACTCTACGATACACATTCTGGTTTGATATCTGCCGGTTTTTGAAGTTCTATACTATATACAAAGTTGTGTTTTTATTAATACTGTTATGTACTGATATATTCAATTATACTATGTCTGATGATATAGCCAATTCTATTGGAGATAACAAGAGACAACACAGGGACCATGGTAGAACTCTATACAATGGTCTTAAATGTTTTTTTTTTCAGTTTCATGTGTTTACAGGAATATGTTTTGTTTTGTCTTGCCTTGTTTTGTTTCTCCCTCTAATATAGAAAGGACAGAAATACATGTTAAGACTCATGCATGTAGAATCTATAAACAGTTTATGAGAACTGATCTTATGACACATGATGAAATAAACGGATACTTTGAAAAAAAAGAAACCCTTAAATACCCAGTGCTGATTCTGGAGTGTCATAATGTGAAACCCAGCAATAGTATTATTCTTTGTTCAGAGTGATATTAACCTGCCTGGGTTTATTCAACCTCAAGATAATTGAAGATATGGATAACTGCATGTATGTTTAAGTGTATAGGATTGACAACCATATTTCTAAGTTTTTGTTGGCTAGTTGAACAGAACTGTTTGTGGTCTCGCTGTTTGAATTCGCACTTTACATGTTCCATTTTTGTATCTTGAACAACTATTTGTAAAATGGCAATATGTAAACATCAACTAGTGATTGCTTACTTTTTATT